ATGAACGTACAAGTCAAACCTGGTCTTACCGTCTACTGATGAGTGAAACTCTTGCCTGTCCTCAGCCTGTGGTTTGACTCCACAGTGTCAGACCTGGGTTCATGGATATGTTCCATGTGAAGACCTGTTGTGCTCCTGCAGTTTGTGGTCCGTCTGCTGTGGCTGCTCCAATTAGGCGTCCTAACCTGGTAGTCATGGCAGACTGGGGCATGTGTTTTACAGAGATGTTGTTAGTGGGGGTGTGTACAGTGTGCAGTGGGTTCCTCAGATCGTTCATTTCACTGATGGGTTCTTGGTTAGCTGTGAAGGTAAAGAGTCGTTTCCCCAAAAAGACTTTTTCTTCTCTGCATATGATTTACTACTTCAGGAAAATGGACTTTTCAGTCAACAATCCTGGACCGGTCATAGTTCAGTTAGCCTAGCTTAGCAGGACCGATGAGAAGTACTGTAACAGATACTTGAAGTACTCTTTAAGGAATTGCAAAAATGTTTCTCTGGAAAGTATTCAAAATTGTGTGCTAACTTAAAAATTGCATTTTTGGGGGAGGGGTCTGCCCTGACGCTTAGGCTGCATTTGTGATCCAACATGGATGTTCAGTAGGGTCTGTACCCTATATAAACATTTTACCTGGGAAGGTTTGACTGTATATATGTATGTGTGTCTGTGTGTGTATATATGTATATGTATGTATATGTGTATATTTATGTATGTATATGTGTATATATATACATACATATATACATATGTGTACATATATACATATATGTATGTGTATGTATGTATATGTGCACATATATATGTATGTGTATGTATATATGTGTATATATGTGTATATATATATATGTCTATATATATGTATGTGTATAGAAATGTGTATATATGTATGTATATATATTCATGTATATATGTATGTATATGTATATATGGATGTTTGTATATATATGTATGTATATGTATGTATATATGTATATGTATATACACATATATATACATATAAGTGTATATGTATATATATATACATATTTGTATATATATATATTGTATAGATAGATAGATATACATACATACATAAATACATACATGCGGCTTCCATTTATTTGTATTTGTTTGTCAGTACTCCCTTGGAGTTGGACCACAACAGAATGGACCACAAACACATTTAACTTTTATCTTACGGTGAAGTCACAGAACCAGACTTAAAAAGAACTAATGATTAAGGGCTACTTTTCAACTCTCAAACTCTGGGATACACCAAACATCATCCTTTGTTTCCCAGTTTCCTCTGGGCCTATGTAGGAAAAGTAGGGGAAAAAAGTTGGCTCAGGAGCACTACTGCACACGGGTTCAGTGCCAGGAGCCATTCTACAAGACACTTGGACCTAGAAACTTTTTTTTTTTAGCCATTGCATTTGTTTTTCAGCTGTTTTCTCTTTGGACTTTCTGCATCAGGCATAAACATAACTGACATTTCCTCTCTGTAGTTGTACTTTAACATACTGCATCTTCTCAGGGATTTGATTTCAGTTTGACCAACAGTGCCGTCGACACTACCAAAGATGTCCACAAAATTAAACACAAACTTATAGCTTAGCAACTCCAGAGAAAGGTCTATTGTCCAACACAAGCTATGTGGATGACAAGTTAGCAACGCTAGCTGACGGCCAGCATCGGTGCTTGTCAGCTCAAAGAGGGATTTGCCTAATATTGGGGAATGATTGATTCATCTGGGTAACTGTAGAAGAATCACCGGGGACGTAACGATGCACTCAACTCACAATACGATATGACTGACAATTTATATTTGGACACGATACGATTTTATCATTGTTCTCTTCAATAACAGAACATCACCATTGATCTGGTTAAACTGGTCAAACTGGTCTGGTCTGGTTGACCTGGTTAACTGTCAATATATGAAACAACAACAGAAGAAGAAGAGAAACAACAGGAAGTGGAAAGAGTTCCACTGGAGAACACTGTTGGTGTCTGTG